GGAAGAGGACTCAGAAAATCAAGAAGCTCTTAGGAAAAAGCTTTCAAAGCCTTCTCAGGTGGGCAGTGGTCAGAAACTGGGGTCAAGGAACCTAATTGATGAGACAAGTGATATAGAAGATTTACTCAAAGAGGAAGAAGATTACAAGGAAGAAAAGAATGATCCCACAGAAACCTCAGGTAAGCTTAAATTTCATTGGTTGCTACTATGAACTTGACTCTCAAAATGGTACCCAAAGGCATGTCTACATTTGGGGGTCTTTGGATTTTAAGATTTTGTTAACTGTTGAGATGCTGCATTGTGGATGGTCTTGAGGGAGGGGAGACATGTAAACAATCCTCACTGGATATTGATGTTGGTCGTTTCAGGTGCCCTCAAGTGGAAGGAAGACCTTTCCAGAAAGGCAGCTGAGGCTTTTGTGAGGCAGCAGCAAGCAGCTCCAAACCTCCGAAAGCTTATTTATGGGACAGGTAAAGAATTCTGGTTCAGAGCTGGAAACGGTTCAGTTTCTCTGATTATTTTCTGAAAAGGAGATGAGGGAATTTGTTGGATGATGGGCTGGTATTGTTGACATCCATAATTGCTGGCAATTACATTTCCTATTTGGCAGATGTCTTTAATCATCAACTTACAAGGACCACACATTGGTCTTGTGAAGTACACTTACAGATTTGCTGTAAAACTCGATGCAAATACTGTCTATTGCATCATGTGATGTCCTCTTTTTAAAAGTCCTTCATGAGAAATTTTTTGTAGAATTTAGTGCCAGAAAAATATTTCTGCCCATAAACATATTTATTTGTTCCTTTCCAAGAATGAACCCTGTATCATACATTTTGTTCTCCCTTTTGCCCTTGTCCTCTGATTTTATGCTTTATTAAACTTACCTGTGTGTTATTTGTGGTAGAATTAATATAAAAATAAATCTATAGTGGTGAACTTCATATTGTGCCTGGTTACTGCACGATGAGATCAAGGCCACATGGTGAGACATTTGGGCTTAGCACACTGAAATGGGAGGGTTGTTGTGTACTGATTTTCATTCAGGTTTTGTTTAGGTATACTCTCAGTGATGAGAGGCTCAACACTCTTTAGAGCTCTTCTTTAGTGATCTACAGCTCTGCTTTTAAATGTCCCTACCCTTCCTCGACCCCTAATATTCTCAGTCCTCAACCGCTCAGCTGCTGCCGTGCAGGATTGCAGGAGCCCCAACATATGTAGAGAAATAGCTTCCTGGCCTCTCTTCACTTGTGGCTGACCTGCCCTCTCAGTGCCTGACGCATATGTGGCCATCATCATACCCGCCGCAGACAGAGACCCTCAGTTCCTGAGTTCAAAGACTCATGGCCTAACTAGTTAAAAACGATGAGACCTCTAGGGCTGTAGTTATTCTTCTCACTTTTCTGCCATGGTCTTCTCTTTAGTGACAGAAGATAATGAAGAAGATGATGATACCCGAGAAGAACTTGGAGGGTTATTTCGTGTCACCCAGCCTGACAGAGAGTGTAAGCACAAGGCCGACTCTTTGGACTGCTCCAGATTTCTTGTGGAGGCGCCCCACGACTGGGATTTAGAGGAGGTAAGGGGGTGGTATGTTTGATTTATCAGATAATTAGAGACTATTGTTCTAGAATAAGATTGTCTTATGTCAATATTGCTTACCTGTTGTTGGCTTCTTATATTCATAGGATGACAGGTCATCTAGATATTGTAATGGGCACTTCATCCGTCCTAAGCAATAACACAATCTGAGTTTAGTTAGACCATGTGCACAGCCCACGGAGGACAGGCTCAGTTTCCAGTGTGGACAGTAGTGCGAATCTTTATTTTGAAGCATCACACATAAGTTTTTATACATCTGATGTATTTTGCATCTCTTCACTAGGACATACGTAGCATCCCTGAGTTAACATTTATAGTTTCTGCTATTTGTAAGCATACAGAAATCTGATACCTATAAATGTTCTTCCTGTAGCCCACCACTTTGTAGTCACACTGAAACTTGCCACAGCTTACCCTCCTCTTACTCTTAGATCTTTTCTTTCTCTGTCTCTTTTTTTTTTTTTGGTGACACAGTCTTGGACTGCAGTCCTGGGTGGAGTGGAGTGGCACGAGTGTATGGTCCAATGCAGCCTCGACCTCCTGGGCTCAAGGGATCTTCCCACCTCAGCCTCTGGAATAGCTGGGATTGTAGGCATGAGCCACCAGGCCTGGCTAATTTTTGCATTTTTTGTAGAGACAATGTTTCACCATGTTGAGCTAGAGTCTCAAATTCTGGGCTCAAGTGATCTTCCTGTCTTGGCCTCCCAAAGTGCTGGGATTACAGGAGTGAGCCATCGTGCCAACCCGTTTCTTTATATTCTCTTTTGGAATGTTCTGATCTTCCAAAGGCTACCTTTTTTTCTGTCAATTCAGTTTGACTTGGATGACACTTCTCACAGAGGCCCAGTTGCTCTCATCTTGTCTGTTATAATTTGCCAGGTAATAATGTACTTTATGAGATTTTATTGAACCATTTTTGATGGTAAAATTTAATACAGCTATAGAAAAACATAAAACAATTGTTTAACTTAATGGGTTGCCAGAAGGTGAATACCCCTGTATTCAGCACTCAGGCTGTGAAATCAAGCTTTGCTGCTTGATTGCAACACCAACCAGGATCCCCTTTCTCCCTGTAGAAGGAGGTGTGGTCCAGCCTTTTATGGTGATTCTTTCCTTTTCTTCCTGGTTTCCTTCTCCATGCTTCCATAAGCATTGTAGTTTATTTTTACCTGATTTTCATGACTTTTTCAGTCTATCTTAAATTTTTTAGTCAACAATCTTCCTTTTCATTTCTTTTTTTGGTTACATTTTATTTAAGAAACCACGTCGTTGGTCTGTAGAGTTTCTTGTCTTCTGGATTTTGTGGATTGCTTTGCATCCCTCCGCAGTTTCTAAGGCCCTCCTGTGTTTCTTGTGAATGGGTAGGGAGCAAAACTGATAGAACTGTGATGAGCAGAATGTGTATCTGAATTGGGGGTTGTGGCTACTGAGCTGCTAGTGAGACTGGAGAACTAAATTTTAAATTTTATTTAATCTTGGTTAAGATTATTTTAAATAGCCATGTGGTTCTAGTTACCCGATGGACAAAACATCTAGCAGTTGGATAGGATTTAAATTTGATTTTTATTTTTCAGCAAAACTGCTTTCCAGGTGGTGGTGTTTTATGATTAGGAGGCGCATAAAGACCAGTTGTGTGTTTTTAATGAGTTAAATGTTATCGGTTGTTAATGATCAATGCCTAGAACCATTAACTTCTTAAGAACATAGAGTAGTGATGTTCTGTTCATCATTTCTCTTTATTTATTAGCTGTAATACTTCTTTAAAGAGAAACGTTTCCTCTTCTACTATTTGGTTATCCACTTCCAAATATATAGGGTAAATGCTTGATTTTTTAATCAGTTTTTAGAGTGATTCTCCAAAGGGTACTTGTTTGTAAATATTATTGTGATGTCATGGATATAAATGTAGTTGATGTGCCTTGTGCTGGTGCACCTGTTATCCTTATGAAAGCTTCTCTTTATCCCACCTGTGGCCTATGGAAGTCTCTGCACGCCAGCTCCTGAGTCTTTATGTGATGATCGTAGTCATCCTTAATCAATTCTTGCTCTCTGATGTGAGAGAGCACTTGGAATCACCCATAAAAAGTTCTGATGTCTTTTAGTAGAAAATGGTATTTCAACATGACAGCCTAGGCATGGGAATGCTTACTGCCATGAGTTGGTCATCACTTCTAGGGCTTCTCAGTGACCTGAAGCAGGTGAGTTCATATAGATATTTCCAGTTCGAATTCAGGACTACATCTTATTCGTTCTTCTACTAGACAATTATTCCCTGGTTGAATCAGAAGATGATGAA